CTATGTTTATCTTTTTCAAATTAAAATGTCTTCCAAGTGATGGCATCTTAGATACAATGAAATATGGTAGTTTTTTATATGCATGCATTATCTTCACTTTTCAAGAAGAAGAAAATTATAAACTGGTGGCAGAAATCAAAGTCAAGATACAATGAACAAATGCAGAAAAAGAGACTTTCTTCCTTATACAAGATTCCAACTGATTTACAGAAACCCCCTTCATCTGGAAACTAAATCCTTATCCCTGAGTGTGTGATGCACTAGCAACTTCCCTCCACACAGCAGAGACGAGAAAGGGGAAGAAAGGGGAGGAGGTGAGAAGAAAAGGAAGAGGAGGGCACATCTCAAGGGGTGAGGAAGTCAGTGTTAGTGATGAAGATTACTATCATGAGTGATCACTCATGCTGATAACATGTACCCTTAGTATGATATAATGACACCACAACCCCATGCTCTTTGCCTTATAACCCAAACTCCAGTCTAACAATTATGGTTTAGATCTAACATTCCCCCAAAGTCTCAGAGTTGAAGAAGGGGAGATCACAGCAGACTGACTTGGAAGGGTGTATTCTCACTCGCTGGATGTCCTTCTCTATCTGCTCCCTGACCACCCATGCAGCAAACAGCTTTTCTCTACCGTCCCTTTCTACGGTGTCACTTCTGCCTTTGAGACAGCTGACAATGGATTAAATACACTGAAACTAGGGGCCACAGTAAGCCTCTCCTTCTTTAAGTTTGGGAGATAGGTATTTTATCTCAGGATGAGAAAATGACTAAGATAGAAAATTGGTACCAGATGTGGGGTTGTGGACATAACTGTACTTGACCATATGGTGCAGAAGCCTCTGGAACTAGTTTTCCAGAGGACTTTAGAAAGGAAGACATCAGCTAGAGAATCTTTAGAATGCTATAAGCTAAGCAAAAAGCACAAGTCTGAAAGGAATGTGGACAGCGAAGGCCAGACGCAGGAGATGTTAGAAGGGAATGAGCACCTTTGGCAGTTGGACTAGAAACCATGCATGTTTCACTTTGGCAAAGAATTTGCCTGTGTTTTACACATGTCCAAAGGCTGAATTTAAAGGTGGCAGACTAACAAATCTGAGGGAGAAAATTCCAAGAGAGCTCAAATTGTGGGAAAAGTATTGCTAGTAGCTTTTAGCCAAATCTACAGTGACAATCAGCAGCAAAAAGCAAAGGAGTTGAAAGAGGTCAAAAAGCTGTTGTTTGGCCAAGAAAGAAGCACAGGTAAAATGCTGAAGCCATGGTCCAAATGGGTTCTGCTATTGCTGTCACCAAATTTGTGGCTGACATTGGTGTCATCATCTAGTGCTGGTCTTTCAACCATACACAATACAAAATTTATGGAATGGCAGAGGCTTCCATGCAGATTTTAGAAGAAGATCTGGGAGGCCAGGCAAAAATCTGAGACAGGGGCACAGTCCCTGAGAGGAGCCCAAGAGAAGGTAATGTATAAAGGTATGAGAGTGAAGCAAAAAGAAACAAAACAATGGGGAGACCCCAGGAAATTGGAAATGACAGGAACATGAAATGTCTGTTGGGAACATGAATTGAGGAAAGCCATAAAGCCATAGGCAGTGAGCAAGGCCAGCCATGTGGGCTGTAACAAGCAATGTTGGCCATGCAGAGCTGGCCAAGCCCTTTGGAGTTCATATCCAACCATAACCTGCCCTAGGTGCTGGACATGCAGCCTACAGATTTAACATTTGCCCTGCTGGACTGTGGTCATGATTTGGCCTAATTTATGTCTACTCCCCTTAAGCATCTCCTTTTGAGAGGGAAATGTTTACTTTTTTATTTCTGCAGGGCCTCATGGCTGAGGGTTTACTTTCAGACTCAGAAAAGATTTTTGGACTTGGATTTTTCAGCAGTGCAGGAACTGTTAAGACTTTGATAACTCTTAGAGATAGACTAAATGCATTTTGCATAATAAGATGAACATGAGCCTTTGGCAGTCCAGGAGTGGAATGTTATGGTTTACATCTGTAATGTCTTTGACACACTCAGCAAATATTATTCTGTGTGAGGAAAAACCAGGAAATACCAGGAAAAAGCAAGGATGTCTATTCTTACCGCTTCTATTCAGCATAGTTCTTAAAGTTTTAGCTAGGAAGAGAAATATGTAAAGGGGATACAATAGGAAAGTGTTATGGCTTGTAACTAGATGTCTCTCTGAAGCCTCGTGCGCTTATAGGTGGGCTTTGTGGAGGTGGCTGGATCTAAAATGTCTGAATATGGATTAAAGGTGTGTGATAACAAATTAGTCCACTGATTGGTTTAACATAGTTCTAGGTATGACTGAATGAATTTACTGAAGACAAAAGACCCACCCTGGATGTGAGTGGCACCAACCAATTTGCTTATAGCCTGAATGGGATAAAGGGGGAATGAAAAGGAAAGCTGCTGCTACTGCTTCCTGCCTGCCCTGCCATGGACTGTTTCTCCTCTGCCATGCCTCTCTGCCATGTTGCCCTGCTTTGAAGCCAGTTGACTGTAGACTGCAAACTCAACAAACTATGAGCTAAAAATAAACCTTTCCTCCTTTAACCTGTGGGTGTCAGATATCTTATTCAGGCAACAAAAAAGTAAATAAGAAAAGAAGAAGTCAAATAATGCTTGTTTCCAGATAATATGACACTATACTTAGAAGATCCCAGACATTCCAACAAAAACTTTTAGAACTGCTAAATGAATTCAGCAAAGTAGCAGGATATATATAAAATCAACATTTAAAACTCAATAGCTTTAGTATACACCAGTAATGGGCCAGCTGAAAAAAAATTCAGGAAAACCATTTATGATAGCTTCTTTAAAAGAAAAAGCCTAGGGCTCAATCTAACAAGAGATGAAAGACGTCTACAATGAAAAGTGCATGATGCTTATGGAAGTATTTGAAAAAGACACACAAAAGGCACTAGAAGATGAAAAGAGATCCCATGTTTGCAAGTTTATGGAATCAATGTTTTCAAAATGGCCATACTACCAAAAGTGATCTGCAGGTTCAATGTAATCCCCATAAAAGTTCCAAAGACAATTTTCATAGAACTAGAAAAAAGACTATCCTAAAGTTCATATATAAACAGAAAGACCCAGAATACTCAAAGCAATTCTAAGCAAAAAGATCAAGAATAAAGGCATCACAATTTCTGATGTCAAATGATACTACAAAACCATAGTAACAAAAGCAATATGACACTAAAACAAAAATAGACAGAGTAAAGGACAAATAGATAAACAAACCAATGTAAACACAGCCATCTGACTCTAAATAAATGAACCAAAAATATACATTGGAAATAAGTCAATCTTTTTAACAAATGGTGCAGGGAAAACTGGATACACACTTGTGGATGATTAAAATTAGATCCCTAACTCTCACCCTGTACAAAATAGATCAGAATAGACCAAAGCCAAAACATCAAAACTGCTAAAAGAAAACATAAGGGAAACACTTGAAGTCATAAGCACAGACAAAGATTTCCTGAATCAGATTTCAATGACACGGGTGACAATAGCAAGAATCAACAACTGGGGTTATAAGAAATTAAAGTTTCTGCACAGCAAAGAAAACAGCTGACAGTGAAGGCACAGCATACAGAACGGAAGAAAATCTTTGTCAGCTACTCTTTTGGAGGAGAATTAATACCTAGAATACGTAAAGAACTCAAAAAACTTAACAGCAAAAAAATCAAATAATCTAGTCAATAAATGGGTAAAAAAATGGACATTTCTCAAGAGAAGTACACATAACCAAAATATGAAGAAATATTCAACATCTTCAGGCATCAGAGAAATACAAATTAAAACTACATTGAGACTAACAAATTTTTAAAAAATAATAAACTCTGGCAAAGACATAGAGGGTAAGGAATTCTACACTGCTGCTAAGAATATAAATTAGTACAGACACTATGGAATCAGAATGGCAGCTCCTCAGAAAAATAACATAAAGGTAATAGTTGATGTAGTTATGCCAATCTTTGGTATGTACCTAATGCAGGGATACCTACATACCCATGTTTATTGGGACACAATTCACAATAGCCAAGATATGGGAATAACCTAGGTGGCCAGCAACAGATAAATGGAAAATATGGTGTATATAAACAGTGGATAATTATTCAACCATAGAGAGCACAATTTTTTCATTTGCAAGAAACTGAGTCTAGAAATCATTTTGTTGAGTAAAATAAGCCAGACTCAGTAAAATAAATATCACATATTCTCCCTGAAATATGGAATCTAAAATGATGGCAAGAAAGTAACAGGGAGACTATTAAATACAAAGAAGGGAATAAGGGAGAGTGGGGAAAGGATGCAAAAGCAGGTGATGGAGGACTGGACATAATCAAAATATACATATTGAAACTCTTCCAAAATATGTGAAACTGTGGGAGGCACAGGAAAAAAGGGGGAATGAAAATGATTAAAGTGTGTTGTGTGTATATATATAAATCTGCCAAAATTATGCTCATTAACCTGTATAAACAACATGCACTAAGTTGGGTGTGGTGGCATGTGCCTGTAATCACAGCACTTGGGAGGCTGAGGCAGGAGGATTTTCATAAATTCAAGGCCAGCCTGCACTACATAAGGAGTTTAAGGCCAGCCTGAGCTACATAGTGAATCTCTATCTCAAAAAACAAACAAACAAAAAGATATGAAACAAAAAAGGAAAGTATATAGAATTACTTAATTCATAGGAAAAAAGGTGGAGCCTACTGGGAGGTCTTTGGGTCACTGGGCATGCCTTTGAATAGCACTGTGGAACCCTGGCCCCTTCTTTTTTTTTTTTTTTTTTTTTTTTTTGCTTCCTGACCATGAGGTGATGGTTTTTCTGCTCCCACACACGCTCACAGCATGTGTTACCTCACCACAGGGTGGAAGCAACAGGACAGTCCATCATGGACTGGAGCATCCAGAGGGTGAGAATAAATAACCATTTTCTCTTTATATTGATTATCTCTAGTATTTTGTTGTAGTGATGGAAAGTTGATTAACACAAGGACTATTCTACAAAATACCTGACCAGTACTTCTAAAAATTGTCAAAATCAAGAAAGACAAAGGAAGTCTGAGAGACCGGCAGACCAGAGACTAAAGACATATGGTGACTAAGTATAATGTGAAATCCTGGATTGGATCCTGGAACAGAAAAAAAGACTCTAGAGGAACAATAAAGGAGATAGGAATAAAGTATTATTTTAGTTAATAATGTATCAGTGTTGGTTTCTTACCTGTGACAAAGATATCATAATAAGATGTTATAGTAGAAGAAACTGGAAGAAAGAATTCTTCCCTTACCTATTTGTGACTTTTCTGTAGATATAAAACTTCTAAAATAAAAGAATTTTTAAATCAAGCAATTCATATTTCAATATCCACACTCAATAATAAGTCGACCCTAGAGATCAAAAGCAGAACACAGAGTCAGGAGCAGCAGTGCACAGCATAGTGCCAGCACCCAGGGGTCTTGAAGCAGCGGCTCTGATACTCCAGTCCAGCCTGGACAACTTAGTGTGACACTGTCGCAAAATAAGGTACAGAGCCTAGAGACACAGTGTAGTGGTGCAGAGCTTGTGCAAGACCCTGAATCCAACCCAGCACCACAAAACCAAAACAGAGAAAAGGAAAATCAGGTTCTAATTCAGGTTTTACAAAAATCCTTACACCTGTAAGTGTGGTGATGCAAAACAATAAAAATGGACCAGGGACAATTATGAGGTTCTTATCTCAGTTGTTACCAGGAAAAAATGTTTCATTTGTGTCTGAAGTATATGCAAGTTCATTTAAAACAAACTCGCAAAATATTTAAATCCTCAGCTGCTGAGTGCTTCTATGGTTAGTAATATTTCTAGGATAATGAACCTTGCCCTCCCTTTTTCTGATAACCCATCTTAGGCTTCCAGGAAAGACTTACGGGAAATGTGCAAAATACATCATAAACCTGGTCTTCAACTTCTATACAGCTCATAAAACAAACAGAACTAAATTGATTTATTCAAATCATCCCATTTTTTGCTCAAGAGACAGGGCTAAAACCACCATTTAGATGGTATGAAAGTCAGCAATGTTGTCAACAATTGCAACATTGTCTATTTCACTAATCAGCTGTAAATATTGCCAAGCCTCAATTTTTGATCAAATTGTGTTTTAAATGCTATTGTATGTATTTAGGGTAATTTATAATACATGTTCTCAATGACAACATTCCTATAAAGGATGGCTAACTGCCGTTTACCTCAAGAGCATTTTGTCTTGGTTACTTTTCCCTCATTGCTGAGACAAAATACCCGACACCCCAAATGAAGGAAGGAAAGGTTTATTTAGCTCACAGTTTGTCGAGGCTGCAGTCTGTAATCGGTTGGATCCAAGGCAGGGTAGCAGGGCCTGTTTTTCTCCCATATATTGTAAGCAAGCCATCCCCACCTGGGAGGAGGGGCGGGTAACACTCACGTAATCTCCATGCCTTCCTCAGGATGCTTACACAGTGAGGACCCTGGCCCCCTGCTGAGTCACTTAGTTAACCTTCTAACTTCTCAAGTTGAAACAGTGAAAAACATCCTAGAGCAGCAAGGGCATGTCCTCTACACCCCAGGATGTAGAACGCTGAAGTACTTAGTTAAGCTTCTAGACTTCCAGATGATGCAATGTGTCAACCATAACATACATTTTTAAGCCACAAAGTAAATGAAAGATGTTAAGAGGAATGTAACGAGGGTGACTTCTGAATTATGGACTGCTGACCCATTTTCTCCTGCCCTAAAAATAGTTAGCCAATTCTGGCAGACAGCACCAAAAAAGAATATGTGTCTCCTGGATTACTTCTGTTCAGACTCCATTTAACATTTCCTAAGGAGATTGGAAAGTAAGCATTCAAGGAAAGTGGGTTTTGGTGCTTCAGAAATGGGTGGAGGTGGAAGCAGTTTGCAATGGATAGCAAAGGAGGGCTGCTGACATAAGAAATGTCTTGCAAACAAGACGTTTCACCTTTACTTTCAGCTGCACTAAAGATTTCACAATGCATAACTGTGGACACTCCCAAGGCTCTGGATGGAAAGGAGTGTGGTCTCTTTCTAGATGTAAAGGTTTGGTCAAGAAGATGTGTGGATGGTCTAGGAAACCAAGAAAGAAACTCAGTTGACGTACAGACTTTGGAAGCAATAATAAACACTGGATTTGAATCCTCTTCCCTTAACTAGCTTTATGGCCAGGAGAATCTTCTTTAACTGCTTTAAGACTCAGTTCTCACATTTACAAAATAAGAATAAAAATATCTGTTGTTCTTAGTGTTCTTTTGCTGCTGTAACCCCAAATTACACAAATCTTATGGCTGTAAACAACATAAATTTGTCATCTTACAACTCTGGCGAGAAGTCCAAAATAGGCTTTATTCAAGGTGCTGGCAGAGCTGGATCCCTTCAGGAAGCTTTAAGAGAAAATGTTTCCTGGCTTTGTCCATCTTCTGGAATTGGCCCCATGACCTTATATCTTTAAGGTGAGCAAAGTCCTTGTCATGCTGCCATCGCTTGATTCTGCCTCTCCTGCTGTTCAAATCTTTGTGATTACATTGGGTCCATCCAAATAATCCAGGATAATCTCCATATTTTACTATTTTTTGTATATGGTCCCAGGAGTCAAACCCAGGGCCTCATTCATGCTAGGCAAGTGCTCTACCATTGAGCTACATACCTATCCCTAATCTCCATGTTTTAAGGTCAAATGATTATCAACCATGATTCCATCTGCAATCTTAATTCTCTTTTGCCATGTAACTTAACGTACTTATAGGTTACACAATTATTACTTGAACAGTTGGAGAGGGATCATTATTCTGCTACCATACGGTCATATAGTTGTGAGAATTTCATGCAATAATGTATATAAATAATTGCTATATAATATGGTCCAAAAAATAATAACTTTTCCAGGATCCCTAAATTCACTTTCCATTGACCATCAAAACTTCTTAAATAAATCTTCTTGGATAACCCAGATAACCCTATGTATCAGTTCAAACAGAGCCTCCACAATGTCAGGAGTTGTAGTGTTAGAATAGGGAGAAATATAGGAGACCCTATATTCCAATCACTTCACATCACAAATGAGGAAGACAAGACCAAGACAAAATGTAACTTGACAGGGCCAATCATCAGCAGGCAAAACAGCTAGGACAGGGTATTTGTGTTAACCTCACCATGGCCCTTTGCTGCCCATGGAACTCTGGGGAAGGAGCAAAACTTTCTAGCCATAGAAATTAAGGTTTCAAAGTCCAATGTCTGGTTGTAAAAAAGAAGACCCCAATATTGATTAATTTTTATTAATTAATTTTATTTGTATGATTTAGATATAGATAATGATCATATTCACCATAGGGACTGTGTGCCTGCATATAATACATCTTCATTCTTCTTTATTTCCTATTTTCCTCCTTTCCCTTTTACCCCTCTTCCCCTCCTTATTTACAAAAGCTGTTTCCATTTTTTCTTCTTTGTCTTTCTTTTTCTTTTCCCTTCGTTCCTTTCTCCTTCCCCCTGTCTATTTCCCTTCCCATTTGAACATTTTCTTCCTATTTCACAAAATCCATCTTATACATTTTGGTTCTTATTTACACTTTTGATTTCTCACACCAGCGAAGCCATGAAATATTTAAACACATGCCCAATTTATTTCACTTAAGAATATGGTCTCAAGGTGCATCCATTTAGCTAGAAATGTCTCATTTGTCTTTCTTTATATCTGAACAGTACTCTACTATATAAAAAGACCACATGTTCTTTCTCCATTCATCAGTTGATGGGCATTTGGTCTGTTTCCAGGACTTAACAATTGCAAACTATGCTGCTATAAACACGGATATGCATATATCACTGTGGCATGATGCTTTTCATTCTTTCAGGAAGATATGGGGAAGGAAAATAACTGGATTGAATGAAAACTCTACTTTTAGTTTTTGAGGAATCTCCAAATGATTTCCACAGTAGTTTCACCAATCTATACTCCCACCAAGAGTGGAGAAGTGTTCCTTTTTCCCCACTCCCCCACGAGCATTCGTTATTGGTTGGTTTCTCGATAATAGCCACACTTTGTAGTATAATTTCAGGTCAGGGATTGTAAATCAACCTGACTTATCTTTGTTGCCCAGGATTGCTTTTGCTATTCTGGGTCTCTTCTGGTTCTAGATGAATTTAAGGAATATTTTCTCTAGATCTGTGAGGTATGCTAATGGTATTTTAATAGGAAATGCATTGAATCTGTACAATTTTGGGAGTATGGCCATTTTCACAATGTTGGTTCTTCCTATCCATGAGCAAGGAATATTTTTCCATTTATTGAAATCCTCTTTGATCTCTTTTTTCAGAGTATTGCAGTTTTCATTGAATAGTTCTTTTGCTTCTTTTGTTAGATTGATTCCTAAATATTTCAGTTTCTTCATGCTATTGTGAAAGGTATGGTTTCCTTAATTTCTCTCTCAGTCTGTTTGTTGTTTGTGTATAGGAATGCTATTGATTTTTGGGTGCTGACTTTGTATCCAGCTACACTGCTGAATTTGTCGATTAATTCAAGGAGTCTTCTTGTGTAGTTTTTGAGGTCTTCCATGTAAAGTATCATGTCATCTGCAAATAGTGATAATTTTACTTCTTCCTTTCCTATTCTTATTCCTTTTATTTCTCTCTTGTCTAATTGCTCTGGCTAATGCTTCTAGAACTGTGTTCAATAGGAGTGGTGGCAGTGGACATCCTAGCCTTGTTCCTGATTTTAAAGTAAAAGCTTTCAGTGTGTGTCCATTTTGTATGATGTTGGCTATTGGTTTGTCAGAGATGGCTTTGATCATATTGAAGTAAAGACCATCTATTCCTATTTTCTGTAAGGTTTTTGTTGTGAATGCATGCTGGACTTTGTCAAAAGCTTTTTCTGCATCTGTAGAGATGATCATGTGGTTTTTGTCTTTGGCTCTATTGATATGGTGTATAACATTTATTGATTTGTGAATACTGAACCATCCCTGCATTCCTGGAATGAATCTGAGTTGGTCATGGTGTATGATTTTCTTGATGATTTGCTGCATTCAATATGCTAGTATTTTATTGAGTATCTTTGCATCTATATTCATTAGGGAGATTGATCTGTAGTTCTCTCCCTTGGTTGGGTCTTTCTCTTGTTTTGGTATCAGTGTACTTGCCTCCAAAAATGAGTTAGGGAGAATTGCTTCCTTTTCAATCTCATTGAAGAGTTTCAGGAATATTGGTATTAAATCTTCTCTGAATTTCTTGTAAAATTCTACTGTGAATCCATCAGGGGCTGGGGTTTTCTTTGTCAGTAAGTTTTTAATCACATTTTCAATCTCATTAACTGATATTGGCTTGTTCAGGATTTTTATATCTTCTTGATGTCAACCTTGGTAATGCGTACATATCTACGAATCTGTCCATTTCTTCTGAGTTTTCTATCCTATGGGAGTAAAGATTTTCAAAGTAGGTATTAATGAACTTCTGAATATCTTTAGGATCTGTAGTTATTTCATTCTCTTCATTCCTTATTGCATGAACTTGAGTTCTTTCCTTTCTTTTTTTTGATAAGGTTGGCTAGGGGTTTATCAATTTTGTTTATTCTTCCAAAGAACCAACTCTTTGAGGCATTTATTTTTTGTAGAGTTTTCTTCATTTCAATTGCATTAATTTCTGTCCTGATCTTATAATCTCCTCCCTTTCTTTGGGCTTTGGGCTTGACTTGTTATTCTTTTCTAAAAGTTTGAGGTGCAGCATTAGGCTATTTAGTTGTTCTCTTTCTGTTTTCCTTATGTGTGA